TCCGTCCTCTCTGCTCGTCCTCCGTCCTCTCTGCTCGTCCTCCGTCCTCTCTGCTCGTCCTCCGTCCTCTCTGCTCGTCCTCCGTCCTCTCTGCTGCTTCCAGACACAAAGCTTTTCTGCGTTCCGTCCATTATTTCCTCAAACTGTGCTTCTGCATTGCAGATTGAAATTAACCTTGATTTTGATCAGCCAAGCTAATGGGGAAATGTCAGCAGGAAGGATGCAGACGAGATGGATGATGTTCACTTCGGCTTCATTTTTTTAATGTTGAAGCAGTGTTTCCCATTAATTACTTAGACTGTGGCAGCCCGTCACAGACTCATTTGTCCCTCCAGAATTTTTTTTACACACTCAAGTCCCCCTCGGATCAGGGTCTACGTTCTTTTACCTACGCCATGAGGTCATGTTTCCACTTTGTGCGTCTGTCCTTCAGCAGAATTGCACAAAAGCAAAAAAATGAAACATCCCTCTCACTCACAACCGATTCTGAGTGAAAGACAAGTTCTCGTGTGAGAGAGAGAGAGAGAGAGAGAGAGAGAGAGAGAGAGAGAGAGAGAGAGAGAGGACTGCATTACAGGGCTCTTGTTGGTACGTGCACAACCGCAGCTGAAATCATGAGGTCTGACTGTAAAAACTTAATGGATCACACTGAGCGAGCAGACTGCAACTAGAGCTGCACACAGTTACACAATGCAGCAACGGAGAAGAACACCAATTTAGAGATTTCTTATCATGTAATTATGACAAACACTGCTTTGATATGACAAGAGAGGGTCGAGGCCTCGAAGATGAAGTTGTGCTTGTCAGGTTTGGGCAGATTTTCCCTGAGCTTGTTTCTGTCCAGTGTCCTCAGATCTCAGCAATTATTTTCACGAACACAATGTTATCGGAACCAATAAAACCCATCTCGAAAACTAATAAACCAAGCTAATTATCTATTAATGGTTCATGCAGTAATGGTGCAAATCTTCTACAACCTCCCTGTGTTTCATTTTCTGGTCATTAAATACTCGTGTGTTTTGAAAAATCAGTTTTGGCACAAACACAAAAGCAGATGCAATTTGCAACCCTGTCCCAGCGAGACATTTTTTTTTCCAAATGTCTGCTTGTTATTTATTTCCCAGACGACTGCGCCTCTACCTCCCCTCTTGTTCATAATTTTAGTGATTCACAACGGCATCTCTTTACACAACTGAATCTCGTTGTTACCCAGGCGACCACTATCGAGGACATGGAGGCACGGCTGGACTGCGGCCTGGTCAAAGGCCACGCCTACGCTGTAACCGACGTACGGAAAGTGCGGCTGGGTCATGGACTGCTGGCCTTCTTCAAATCGGAGAAGCTGCAGATGATCCGCATGAGGAACCCGTGGGGAGAGAAGGAGTGGAGCGGCCCGTGGAGCGACAGGTGATTACAACACCGACACTTGTCTCACGAAAAGCTCATTGAACCTTCATCGTGAACGCCGTTAATCCACGTGAGTCAGATGTGACATTTCCAGAGCAGCAGATACGATGAAGTCGTCCTTTTTCTCGTGTCCCCGCACCAACGTTAACAAGTGTAGATGTTTCAAAATGTCAAAAACGCACTTGTCCTCCTTTGACACTGGGCCTTCGAAGAGGCTGCATGTGATAAATAAGCAAACAACAAACCACTGAAAAAAGTCTGATCCATTTTTAATGTCCACAGTGACGCTGAAGAACGCTGCACAACAGGAAATGTCATGTTGACAATGAAAAATGGAGATGCAATCAAGCTAATGGGCCAAAGGGTGAACAAGAATAACTGAGTTCAGCTCAGTAGGAGTGTTGTTTGTCTGTGGAGAACAGCAGTGAACGGTGCAGTGCTGCTCACATATCATTGTCCCCGGGACCCTCCCTGAACAGTCGGGCCAAATCAGAGCCGTCTAACCCTTCAGTCGAGACGTCTACGTGGATCAAACCGAGACAGGAGGATGACGCTCTTTTGTCCTTCAGAGAAGTGTGTTTTATTCCAGTTTTCCTCTCTGCTGCTGAACGCATGTTAGCCAAACCTGCGATGAAGCTGCTCCCCGGACGTCTCTCTGTCTTTGACTCGTCAGCTCCCAGACTCTGTGAAACAGGGAGGTGGCGAAGCTGTGTCATAAACCCGCCTGAATTATTGATGAGGCCTGAAAGACAGAAAGATGTTATTAAGGCAACGTGAGTCATCGCTCTTCTTTCTCAATCATTGACTCGCTCGCGCTGAATAATTTATTCATGGTTTGATAAAAACCTGTTACAGCAAATGGACGTGGACGTTTGTCAGTGCATCATAAACACAAAGACATAAACACGGAGCTAATGCGTCCAGTAAATGTTTGTTTCCCCAGAGCTGTGAATACAGAACGGACCTTGATGTTTCCATATTATTCACAGTAACAACTACACATAGGTTGTTTTTGTTTCCCCAACAGACTCTTAACATTATAGACACACAGGATTTATACGTCTGAACTGGATCCTGAACTTTTCATCGGAAGATTATTAAGAGATTCACAGACTTTACACCAGATCTTCTAACTACTGTTTCTGGCAGGAGGTTCATAGAGTTTAATAAAAAGGAGAACTTCTATTCAAACTCTAAGAACATAAGAATTAGTTTTATAAAAACATCAAGAACATTTTTTTTACCAACAATAATAAAAAAACATCAAAATCAATTTTAAAAATGTCACTCGATCAGAAAACAATGATGCGTCTGCTACTCAGAGCTCGGGGGAAATTAGAAAGAAAATCTGTAATAAAGTTCTAATCAAAGCCCGGTTCTCTCTGCAGTTGTAAATAAAGCGTTTGCTCTCCTGTCTTTGTTCACCGCAGCTCCGAGGAGTGGAACAAGGTGAGCAAGAGCGAGAGAGAGAAGCTGGGCGTCACGGTGCAGGACGACGGAGAGTTCTGGTGAGAACCATGTGAACTGACCGTTCTGTTGTTGCCTCCCCTCAAACTGATTGTTCAGGTGTTGCTGGCATGTTAACATGTTAATTACTGAACTTCAGTTAATTACTAACCTCATAATTAACTCATAGGCATCAGAGTCATATTCCTCAAAGAGACTTTTCCACACTGTTATTAAATTTACACTGATGATGAGGTTTTTGTGATTTTTATTGTTTATTTTACTCGAGTCAGTAAAATCTCTTTCCTTGTCAACACCATGAATTCCAGTCTCATGTTAACTTGTGACCCTTTCTTTTGTTTCTGGTTTCATTTCCTCTATATTTACGCCTGTTCAAGCTCTTCTTTTCAAGCTTCTCCCTCTCCTCTCTCTCCGCTCGTTTCTCTCCTCTTCTGTTTCTGCCCTCCTGCAGGATGACGTTCGACGACTTCTGCCAGTACTTCACTGACTTGATCCTGTGTCGCCTCATCAACACGTCCTACTTGAGCATCCACAAAACCTGGGAGGAGGAGGTGATGAAGGGCTCCTGGGTCCATCGCCAGGACCCCCTCCGCAACCGATCCGGGGGCTGCATCAATCACAAGGCCACCTTCCTGCAGAACCCTCAGGTTAGCTGTGGTGCTGAAGGGAGCTTGTGCGTTACAGAGAGACGTGTACGCAGCGTGTGACGGGATTTTCCTCTTCTTCTCTTTGCAGTACGTGTTTGATGTGAAGAAGGTTGAGGATGAGGTGTTGATCTGCTTACAGCAAAAAGAAAAGAGAGCAACACCCAAAGAGGGAAAAGGGGAAAACCTCGCCATCGGCTTCGATATTCACCGGGTACAAAAAACACCACTGACACATGCACAAATCAAAGAAACCTCCACAACCCTTTGCTGTAGCGTGTCTCTCATCTTGTAGGTGGAGCTAAATCGGAAGTACCGTATGCACTCAGCCCAGCAGAAAGTAGCGGGCTCCATCTACATCAACTCACGCTGCGTCTTCCTCAGGAAGGAGCTGAAGGAGGGCCGCTACGTCATCATCCCCACAACGTTCGACCCCACGCAGCAGGGCGACTTCCTCCTGCGTGTCTTCACTGATGTGCCTTCAGACTGCAAGTAAATCTGTAAACCATCCTTTCACGTGTGTTTCGTCTCAGTGTCCGACAGCTCACCCGGAGCTGAACCCTGCGAGAGCTAGAGATGGCTCCGAGCTCGGTTGAGAGGAGGTCACGTACTCTGGATCGACCCGCTCCGCACGCTTTGCATACATTTCTATCTAATGTTCAGTAAAACAGTTAGATATGTAGTTTGCCTTTCAACAAGTCAACAGTGCTAATATGTTTCTAAGGATTTGTTTGTGTTCGTACAATAGATTTTTGCAGAGTGCTGAAATCAATAACCTGTGTTGTGTCTGTGGGTGCTGTCACTCCGTCCTGGTTTGGTCCAGACCTCCTGACTTTTCAGTTTTACCCTGAACCAAAGAAAACAGGTTCAGAGCAACGGGACAAAATATGTCCAAGGTGGTCTCGGTCTGGGTCAAACTGAACCACGGTCGTGGACGAGGTTATATTTGTGCTAATGTTGTTTCTCTCGTTTACTGTAAACGACAGAAGAGCAGTTTAAGATTCCTCTAACATACATGTGATCTCTGTGTTTCCCAGAGAGCTGACACTGGACGACCCTCCTCAGACGTGTTGGACGGGGATGTGCGGCTACCCTCAGCTGGTCACTCAGGTCCATGTACTGAACGCTGAGGGTCTGCAGGGACAGGACTCGAACGGAGGTAGGACCGGGGCACGTTCTGTGAACAGCAGCTGTATCTTGGATCATGTGACTGTACATGTTGATGATCATGTTGTTGTGTTGTAAACTCCTGCACAGAGCTTCACTGCCTCAATCCTAGTAAGAAAAGACTCCTGAGCAAAGCACAAGGTACCACAGCGCCCTCTGCTGAAACTAAATGCATAGATATGTAGTGTAGTTGTTGCCTAGAGTACACAGTCCTCCGCTCCTTAGACACAGTGTGTACACATATCTGTGTGTTTTACAACTCACTCACCTTAAAAGCCACTATGTGTAGATGTCATTTACCATTTTTAAATGTCTTCTAATGCTCTAAAAACAATAGAGTTCTGATTTGATTTGGTGCAGCCTCTGATCCAACAGATGTTTTCATATCCTCCACATAGTGGCTTTGATATTTTTATCACTTTGAATGAACCGTGGTGGTGGAATTAAAACAACTCAGAAATGCTCCTTACCTCTGAAATTAGTGGAATAAAAGTGTAAGTCTTTTCTTCTCCACTGGTGGTGAGGATGTGAGTATATCACAGAAAAATAAATCATCACAAGCAGCACTTCTAATTATAAACACGACTGTTTCCTGAGCTCAATAAGTAAATAAGTCCTTAATTCAACATCCTCCTGAAGTAAAAGTACTTATCAGTATTATCAGCAACATTTACTGAAGTTATCAAAAGTAAAAGCACTTCTTCCTCTGTATTTCAATACGTACAAATATGACATCATTACATTAATAAATCCATTTAATTCAATGATATTTCTCAATCTCATCGCTGCTGTTGCTGATTGAACTGTAGCTATTTAAAGAGAGTGTATTATAAAGTGATATAGATGAGTTTAATAGATTATGACAGTAATCACCAGCTCTTTACTCTATCAAACTGTTTAATCTGGAAATAAACCAAGTAGATGTGATTAGTGTCATTCATCATCGCCAGGTTTTTATGTAAAGATGTTTTTTTTTCCTCTGCAGCTGTGGATCCTTACGTGATCATCACCTGTGAGGGGGAGAGGGTCCGTTCCCCGGTTCATAAGGACACACGCTGCCCAAACTTTGACGTCAAAGGCCTGTTCTACCGCAAGAAACCTAAAGAGGGCATCCACATCGAGGTGAGCCGTCACTCGTCGGACATTATATGACAACAACTGATACCAACTGAGTCGAGATGTTTGCTGAACATCTGTAACTGATCAATTACAGGCTCAGTATCAGGCAGTATGTGTGGAAGCCGGAGAACTTGAGAGGGAATTATTCTCGGTGGTGTAGAATTAAATTTACTCAATCAGACGTGTGAAATTGTCTCATTTGCGTCCTGGTGAAAGGAGACGGACGTGGTCACGCTCCGCAGGTCGGTTCGGTCTCGTAATAGAGACGCACAGATCTTATGTTTCTCCACATTTTCTTTCAAAGTAAGACAGTTGGTTTTTCAGCTTTTTTCATTACTTGAACCATTCATGGTTGAAAAAGAGGTTTATTATTTACATTTCTCCAAATCGTCTGTAAATTAATGATATCTCATCCTTCTATCGAGTCATACTTCCTGTCCGCTTCATATTTTCTTAACTGTTTTTCTCTCCTCCTTTCCTCCCTCCCCTTTCCTGACCTCTGCCTCCCTCCCACGTGCCGCCCAACAGATCTACAACAAGAACATGATCGTGGACACCTTCCTGGGTCAGGTCATCATGTTCAGCGACCCCAACGAGCGGCAGGAGCAGCACACGCTTCACCTCCGCGACAAGGGCAACCGCCAGGATAACGACCTCCCGGGCACGCTCACTGTGCGCCTCATCACCTCCACCACGCTAACCAACATCTGATGACACCGTCAACGCGGGAAGTGGCGTTCAACCGTTTCTCGTTCGCCGTTCATCCTCCAACCGTCGTGGGAGCTCACTGTGCCGCTTGCGCTCTCTTATAGTTTCCCCCGTTTTCTTTCGCGCCATTGTTTAAATTCAACTTTCTGTCACGAGTGTTTTTTGAAGGCCGAAACCTTTATCTGAAAATGGGAGGAGTCCATCTCCGGGGGGTTTGAACACATTCCTGCCAAAACTGTCATTTATTTAGTGATCACATGAGACGTGACAGATTATTTTTTTTTTAATTTTATTTTTGCCAGAATCTCCGTTAAAGTCTGAGCTACAGATTTTGAAGACGAGGCCGGTGTTATCCTGAAGTTTCTGTTAATCCGTCGGAATCTAATCTTCAAAAATATATTTTCTCCTCAACACTCACGATGCACATAAAATACACATATGCAGACGTTTCTGCACTCGCCATGCATGTGCCAATGTTTCCAAGGGCTATGCATTGCCTTAAGGCCGAGTCTCTCCACCTTCAGGAGATTCGAGGGGTTGTGTTACTCCTTTATGTTCTCCAACAGCTTTCCTCAGTGGTAGCACAGCCTCCATCTGTGACTCTGCATCCGAAACCACTTCTGTGTAGTTTTAACGTCTGTCTCCTGTATACTCACATATAACGTATACTCTTTTATATTGGTGTGATGATCCTCCCACCCAGTCCCTCCACCCAGACACCTCAAGACTCCTCCGGTTTGCTTGTGCTTTGGAAAGCATGCAGCTCTGTCTGTCACTTTTTCTACCGTGGACTTTACAAACGAAAGCCAACAGCAGCTACTCTCTCCCTCGACTCAGAGCTTTTCAGTGCAGTTTTTTGCGAACGTGCTCGCGTGTGAAATCTTGCCTCCCCGTCTTCCATCGCTAGCACCATCCCAAACTCCCCCAGACGCTTTCTGCCGGTTGCTATGGACGATCGTCAAACTGCATGACTTCAAAAAAAAAAAAAGGAAATAAACTAATCTCTGCCTGTGCTGCACATGTCGTCAGTCGTAGCTTAGCAGCCGGTGCTTGTGATCGTGCTAGCTGTCCTCCTTTGACTCCTCAACCCCTTCCCATGTGTACCCAGTTCAGCGGAGTGCAAAGATTCACCCTGACATAAATCAAGTGCTTTATGGGACCAAAGATGAGCCAGGCCCTTTGCTCCCCCCGGTCCCTTTCAGACCGTCCTGGCCTGGCCTGGCCCAAGCCTCGCTACAAACCACCACCCCCTGTGCCACATCATCTCTTAATGGCAACACCACTGCCTGATGCTTCCTCCGACTTGAGAGTCCGTTGGCTTGGGCCAAATACTCGCGCCACGAGACCCCGAGACACAGCAGCTACGCTTCTGCTGTTGGCACAGAACAGGGGTGAGTGTCTGTCTGTGTGTGTGTGTGTGTGTGTGTGTGTGTGTGTGTGTTTGTTTGAGAGAGTGTGTACTTGTTTGTGTATCCCAGTGAGGACTGTAAACTGAATACACACCCACCAGTGGGGACTCGTGGGGACAGAATTGACGTCTCCACTGGTCCAGACTGCTGCTTTTTGAGGGTCAACACCTGGTTTGGGGTTAAGGTGACACTTAGTGTGTGTGTGTGTGTGTGTGTGTGTGTGTGTCCTGCTAACTTCAGTGTTTTCCTAAACAGGAGTGCTTGGATGAATGTATTTCAGTTAATCCACGTTATACCGGGAAGAAAACGATTTCTAAGGAAAGGTGTGAACTCAAAGGAAAAGAGCCCTTTAGGCGAAAACACACCTTGCACTTTATTCAGTTTCAATGGGGTCCGAAGCCCCTGAAGGGTGAAAGGAGGAGGAGGAGGAGGAGGTGGGAGTTCGGAGGAGACTTCCTGCCAAACAACCTGTGCCATTGCCTTGGTCCTGGCTTTGCCTCCGCTGCAGGAAACAGCATCAGACACGGGATTAACTGTTCGATACCTTTCAAAGGGATTTCAGATCAGATGGCTTTTGCATATTGACCCAGTGATGGTCTAATCCATCTCTGATGAACCATGGCACTTCTGTCATACATCATGTTCCCATCCACCAGACTGAAAATCAACTCAACTCATGTTTGCTTTTCTTTTCCAAACAAGTGCAATATCACCGCATTGGAGTTTTTGAATTTATTTAAGGTGCGTCTTTATCTTTTTCTTGTTTTCATATCAAGAATTAAAAATGTAAGTTATTTAATGTCATTGGAGACATTTTCTTTGAATGTATGACAGATAGTGCACTAAGCTCTCAAACTATCAAGTTGTTTATGATTTAAATTTTTTAATCAGCGCCTTTTTTTCATTACTTGAACTGTCTCTCATGGCATTTAACTGATCACACTCCTTTTCTGTACAGCATCTCTGTAAATGTGTCTTGCATGGGTTATTTTCCAGTATATGTTCATGGCCTTGTTGTTGTACTGTTCAATTGTTTATATATATATATATATATATATATATGTCTATATATATATAAATATATATATATTTATTCTCTCTATCTCAACAGTCTTGTAAATGCTAGATTTGAGCAGTCAGCATGTCTACAAGAATGCACCTGATGTTAGCATCAGTCTGATCATATCAACCGGTTTGAAGCACTTAGCCTTTGTCTTGTAACACAGTGATTATATTCATAACAGCTCGAGCATCTGTGAACATTAACACAAGTTGTTGACGACTATTTAGGTGCTAATTCTTCTCTCTGCTCTTTTATGTTGCTGTCAGTCTGACAGAGGGACAGACACTGAGTCAAGCTGGACGTACACTGTGTGATTTTAGAAATGTTCTCGCACTGTAAAGAGTCAAATCGTCTGTGATGGAAACTCACGGTTTACGTGCTCGTGTTGCACGATCAGCTTCATCACTTCTCACACTTTACATTCCCCGTGAGCTCGTCTGGACCAGCCTGGTTCCACAAAGCTTACAAGGGGACGAACATGCTACCTTCTCCATCTGTGTGAAGATATTTCTCTCTGGTCGTTAGCGATGTGACGAGGACATCAAGCAGGCGAGTGTTCTGCTGCTCGACCAGGAGGAGCTCCATGTTTTCTGTCATATGAAACATCATGTTGCCCATGTCCTGGTCTCACTGTCACTGGACTTTGCACCGTGAGGAAGAAAAGAGTTTCAGGAATCACCTCATGACTATACTTCAAGTGTGCAAAAGCCTGAGGACGACCGACCAATCATCAGTTGGGAGCATCAGTTCACTTCCCGTTTTACATCTTACACGGCAAACAACAAAGCTGAAATTATGGTCTGACTCTCAGACGAAGCCCAGAAACCAGGAAACGGGCCGAGCTGTTGCAGTGAATCTCCAGGTTAATGTGACATTAAACTGTATTTGAACGTTTTGTTAACTTGTTAGAAAAGTTAGACATAGTTAAAGTTAAAGACAGCTGCTGGTTTATACAGACCAGGTGGTTGTGATATTATTCTCTAACCATTCGACTTTATTTCCAAACCCAAACCAAACTAAAAACCATCTCCATCTTCATCTTCACTGTAATTTCTGGTTTTCCTGATTCAGAACATGATGATTAGAAAAAAGTTCATGTTGCCAACAGAATATTTTTCAGACTTTTGTCGACATAACTGTTTTATTGGTATGTTTACGTGTGCAAATGTTCATTATCCTAAATGATCCCCTAACTTCTCTCATCAGCGCCACCAGCAGGTTGATTTGTGAAATACAACTATTAAAATGTTCGGCAGGAAATGTTGTCATCAGGTCAAACTTTTAATTTGGTTTATAAACAAATACCTGCAAAACAAATGTCCTGCAAATGTTACAATCGTCCTCTCAGTCACCATAGATTTTATATTCCACAGTTTCTCCTCAACTGATGTCACTGTCATCTTATTCCATCAGCGACAGATAAATATAACCTGACAGCTTTGACACGTGGGAGTGTTTGAGTCACGCTCCCTGTTATAATAAGAGTGAGGAGCCACAGTGGCGATACCGAGGTGTTCCTCTTCAGTCTTTTGCTCGTGCCGTGCCAAAAACACCAACCGTCTGTTGTGAAGAGAAGAAGGTGCTGCACCTTTTGTTGGCTGTTCACCTGAGGGACAAATATACGACCACTCAATTTGACCTCTGAGGTTTTTGTGCCTCGTCAGCTCTCCCCTGTGTGTCCCGCTCTGTCTTTGTCTTTTTATCCTGAAGTGGTTTTGGTTTCTCGTTGTAATTGTTCCACATCATGATCCATTGCCAAAAGTGTCATGGCTTTCACTGTTAACCACACACACACACACACACATACACACACACACACACACGCTCCAGCTACCAGACTCGGTCGGGGTGTGCGGACCTTCACTGGCTTTTTTGACAGTCGCTATAAAGCTCATCAGTTTCTCTGTGTGTTTATATATTTTTCCGCACGGCCGCGCCAAAGCTGGTTTTAAGGACACGGAAGCTTTCGGAGGAAGGATCCAAAAATGCCAGCGCATGTAGCAAAACCGCTTCGAATCTGCTCGCACCATCACCGCTCACAGAATATATAGTTTTGGTTCTCCGAGTGTTAAAAAAAACTAAAACGTAACCTGCTGTTGCTACTTTGATAAACATACTGCGTGGAGTACGAGGCTTGTGTTGCACACTTGCATGCTTTCAAACAGTATCCGGTTTTCTAACATTTTGTATTCAGTAAACTGCAGTATACAGTATGTGTATAAAAGTAGCAGCATTTTGATTCCTCAGTTGAGTGATTATGGTTTCCATGTTGGACATTACACAGTTTATTCCAGATATTTATCTCAAGATGTTCTCGATCGCTACCTCTGGTGATCAGCAAGAATACGTAGAGGACTCATGCCAATTATAAATCCCATAATGCCTTGCTGAACTTATGAATACGACCTTGGGTTACTCCTTTCTCTGAACGACGCTACTGACGCCTTCACTTCTTGGAGATTTTAGGGAAATAAAAGATGTGGAAACGTTCCTTCAACATTTTGGGATATTTTGCAATGATGTTGTTGAAATGAAGCTTCAGCCGGTGAAATCTTGTTCATGTGCCAAGTGAAGGACTGACGGTGCTGGGTTTACATTTCCTATATTCATGTGAAAGTTGTACCAAACTTTTTCTTCGAATAACAAAACATGATCGTGCCTCTGCAGACCTCCAAAGTGGGGGATGGGAGGTGACCTGAAGAAATGGCCTCAGATAGCAGTTACAAATTAGGTTAGCTTAGCATTAGCAAAGGGATGCCGTCATATTAGATAATCCTTTATTGATCCTCAGAGGACTTACAGCAGCTCAACTACAGAATCAATGCAGATAAAGAACAAGATAAGACAACAGTAAGACACAAACACAACATGTGGGACGTTTTAAATTAAATGTACCATCGGTAGATTCGGAATCAACAAAGAAGTCAAACACAGGCTGACGGCAAACTTTCTTTTCAGTGTCCTCAAAACAAATCGTACGGAAATAAAAACCTCTTCAATTTGACCTGTCGTCACTTTTAAAGTTGTTTTCTGTTTGATTTGAGATGAACACGAGGCCTTTAGAGGGGTTTTTATTGTTAAATCCTGTCGTCCCTTTATCCATCCATTTACCAGCTTCTCCAGGTCAGGGTGTGTTTAAGGATTTTATCCAAACCTGTTTGTCCTCACGTTTATTTTCCCAGAATCTCTTAAGAATAGTGACGACACTTGAACCGACTCCTGCAGACATCGGTTCAGCGAAAGCATCGACTGCACGTCACACTCAAAACTCACACAAGGTATCACGGGACAAGTTGGACTGAACAATAAAAACAGATTTGACAGATTCTCTTCTCGTTCATCACTTTCAGAACGATCTCTTCTTCTTAGGTGACTTCATCAAAACTCATTCATGAAGGAGTGCGAGAGAGAACAGCAGGCTTTACGTTAACTGATGGCGTCACAGAGACATTTTTATCTGAGACTGAGTCTTGTCCACTCAAGGAATGAGCTTGTGATTCTTCTTGTATTTTTCTGCTGATGTTTATTAACAGGAGACTCGAATACCTTCTGCATGGTGACACTTCTAGAGGATGCTATGGTCTTTATAACAAGTTAAGATAACTTTTATCAGTATTTTATAACCTTGTTAATTTTATATATCCACTTTACCTTGTGTTCCAAACTGGTGTGTTTACTGATAGCTAAGTGTGGGAAAGCTGTGCTGTGTATTCTGTACTGTGAGCTTGTCTGTGTGTTACTTTTAGCGTGAGCTTAACTTTTTCATTTCTCGATGCGCGTTCGCTGAATTTGGTTCCTGGTTTACACTGTGGTTATTTTATAGCTACAATCTGAAATTATTATTTTTTCTTTTGTATTTAATGTCAACTTGTGGCATGAATTTGAAATAAAAGAGGAAAACCTGTTTCGTGAGTTTGTCATTGTATGAAAATGAGCATGAAAAGATATATATCTATATATATTCACAGTATTTTCTTTTTGGATACAATTTAATTTAAATATATTGTCTCAAGCAAAAGAAGTTGGGACCACTGGTCACCCATATTATAAAAACCTATTAACTTACCTCTAAGTTTCTCAATGCAGCAACTTTTTGTTGTATTTACTCAGAATAACTTAATCCATTACAGATCAATCTAATTAGGAGACAGACTTAAAACTTGTATTTGAGTTAAAGAGCGACAGCAGCAGCTCTGTGAAGACATATCATCAGTATGTTTGTGGTGTGTGGTGACGGCTCGGTGCGGATATCCACTGAGCAGATTAGTGGTGCACCAGAAGTTCACATTTGCTGAACTTTGACCTGAGCTGCGTTGACCTTTGACCACTGTGTGAACCCAAGCATGGAGGGGGGGGAGGGGGGGGAGAAAGTGAGAACCAACCGATCACGATGTTTGTTGTTTCGCTGTGACGTGACGACACCTTAACGTTCATGCTTTGAGGCCACGTGCTCACAATTACAACACAAACAGTCATTTTTCAGAAGTGACACCTTCACGAGTATCGTCACGTGCCCCTTTGGCGAGAACGTGATGTTTGTGAACGTGAACGCGGCTCCGGGCTGAAGACAAAAGAACATTTAGGCAAAAGAATGAATCTGAATGACGTAGTTTTGAGTGAAATGTGAATGTGGAGGCTTCTGGACACTTGGATGACATCACACGAGCAGCACTTTGTGTTTTTATGTTGTTTTTATATGTGTGAAGAAGAAGTCACCGGTTACTTCAACTGCATTGGATGCTTATGCAACGTTGTTCCCCATCGACACAGTGGTGTGTAGATAATGAGTGAATCTTCATCCCTTTAATTTGTGTGAATTGACCCTTTAAAAGCACTCAGCTGTTGGTAACTACTTCCACATCCTGACCTCCCTCCTCGCCTCCCGGCCGCTCTCTGTGTCCGCCACCAACAGGCTCCACCTCCCAGCTAATCAGGATCAGCAGCCATGAATGAGACACAGCGAGAGAGTCTGGAGAGACCCGTCACTGACCCAGACATCAAGCTGTAACCGGGGCGCTAACGCTCGGCCGGGGACAGGAGGCCCGGGACCTCTGGAGAACGGAGAACAGGTGAAGACAGAGGGAAATAGATTTTTTTTTTTTTAAAGAAGGGAGGAGCGACAGGTTCAGAGAGACGTACTTCAAACCCTCCTCCAGCTTCCTCTGCATCATCTTGATCAACTGTCCTGTCAACTCCAGGGCCACCTCACGCCCCCCTCCCCCCTCCACACATACACACACACACACACACTTAACACAAGGGCCAAAGGAGACGAGTGAGGAAGAAGAGGGGCCCTTACAAAATGCATTGAGAGGTAAGTGGAGCAGGTGAACGTGGGTCGAGGCCGAGGGCTTAACCTGCTGCCAGGCCACAGTGCTGCTGCCGCTCTGCTGTAGCTTTAGGCCAAAGCCTCTTACTGCTCACTGTGCCAGCACTTAAAGGAGCCATTATGTCCAGTGAACGATGTGTCTGAGTGTTTTTACTTCCAATTTAGATCCATTAGAGATTATTACCTGTCAGACAAACCGACAGTTTAAGAGTCAGTGTGATGAGAATGATACTTCAGAGGTAGATTAACTCCCACAAACAGAATGAGAGTCTCATAATTCTGCTTTTAAACGTTGTTAGAAGGAAGTTAGGGGTTTGATGTAAATGAAATGAGACGTCATAAAAACTAAATCAGACGAGATAAGTATCTTGAGTCTTAAAGTGAATAGTTTCAATCTTGAATTTTAGATGCAGAGAATATAAATATGTGTTTAAAAGTATTTTTCTGTCAATTTGAAAATGATTTTGGCTCTAAACTCAAGGACCACCTTGTTAGCTCCATGAAGAGACTAAATCCAAATAAATGGACCTTCAGATTTCAAGAAGCTATTTTAAGAATTAATTCTTCAAGTGGTTTCAGTAAAAGTGAAGCTGAAGTATTGAGACACAGTTTATTCCGAGCCTCTCGGTGCTGCAGCTGAAGAATGAGAAGAATTAGCTTCAAACAAAGAACCGGTTCAGAACAAAAAATACTTTCCTCCAACGAGCAGCGGCGTGTTCAACGAGAAATATTTCTAATTCATTCAGTTCCTCTTTAAACCACTTGCTGGTAAATTTTAATTCTCTGTTTGCAGAAGTGACATGTCCGCCATCAACAGTTCCAGATACTCTCTTTTAGTTTCAGCTAAAATGTTAACGTACTAAAGAAACTGGAGTAAATACAGAATAAATCATAACTCATTTTTCAGGGTTTTTAAACATAAGAAAGTAAAACACATCATCTTTAAACAGTGATTCCAGGTTTTGATTTTTATTGCATATTTTGAAATGAATTACTTTTATAAACAAAAGCTTTTGTAAATGTCGTTAACTTGATAATAACGCGCCCCTGTAGATAAACAGTTAACGAGCCTCCCAAAGGATCTCAGATCAATTAATTCATTTCAGGTTTGATTTTATTTCACATAATAATCATTAATGATATGAAATCCTCTTGTATTGTGTGTGAAGTCTCATAAAAACAAACAGTAATAGATGTGTACTCACTGTAAGTGGATGAAACTTTCCACCTGTTAATATTTTAAGTGAACGTCTGTGTTGCGTGTTTTTTTCAGATGTTAAACCACAGAGCTCATGAAGACATGGACGCGCGCCTCCTAAGCTTTGTTGTTGTTTGTCTGTTTGTCGACGATGAATGCGTCACGTTCGTCTGCGCCTCTGAATCCCTGCCATGTGAGTCACATCGACACACATACAGTACACATGCTTGTTAGAGCAGCACTGTAGTCCACACACACACACACACACACACACACACACACAGATTAGCAGCATTAGTAGATTGCTGTTGGCTGTTACATGAAAATCTCTGATCAGGTTGACTTGGGGTCTCACGAGCTGTGACGACAGAGTGGAGGTGTTGAACTCAGAGGTTTAATCAAGCATCTTACTATATGTAAAGATTTGAAGATTCAGTTTTAAATTCATGTCCGTCTCAAGTTGATTTGTAAAAATATCCAGTGTTCACTGGACATTCGGCCTCTGGTGAAGAGAGGCCGAACTGTTCCTGTGCTTTATGCTTTTCCAAAGCCAAAATAAATAAATCGAGTTACATACATGGAAAAGAAAAGTCGCAAATAAATCCTTGTTCACGATCAGTTGGACGTACTCGTTAACAAACTCACTCCATACTTTACGAAATGCAACGCGTCCTTGATGGAGTGATTCAGTGTCTCTGTATGTTGCATGTTCCCACTCCAGTAGAATCCGGCCCCTGACTCTGAAGTGTGCAGTCGGCCTCGTGTCTTCATGACAGGTGTGAATTCTTCAGAGTGGATTGGTGGAACAGTTTTGCGGGTGAAGGGGCCACACAGCGAAGTTTAGTTCACATCTACGTGTCTGTGTTTGGGACAGTTTCCAGATTGGCACCATGTGATTAAGATAAGAGGCTCTGTCTTGGCATTAGCTGAACGTATGAATGTTTACGTGCGTATGAATGAACTTGACGTGAACTGCACGATGAACATCTGCACCGATGCTCTTGTTTTAAAGCTTCACCTCCCTGCTCGACGTGAACGTGTGTGTGTTTCCTCCGTATAGAACATGTCGTTAGCACAGATTATTTTTATATGTTGTAAATTACAACTAACTAAATGTTAATCTACTTATTGGACCACCAGTGGGTCGTTAATACACTTAACCCCTCCCCCCCCAGGCATGGGTTATCGTCACAGTGACACAAGCTGTCAACTCACTTCAGTTTTAATTAATCATTCATTCATTCATTCATTAGATTTCATCACAGCTTCAAACTGGACTGATTTTTAAAGAAATACTGTGTTTTCTATACTTCACATTGTGTAAATATGGTGGTGGTGTGTGTGTGTGTGTGTGTGTGTGTGTG